TGTGTTACCTGCGCCAGTGCGGGCCGCCCCCCAGCCTGTCACCCGCCTGGCGTGCCAGGGCAGCCGTGATGGTACCACACTGGCATACACCATTGCTGGAGGTAAGGAGTGGCCAAGCCACAGCACAACCCAGCCTCTTACTGTGGTATGGCACTGAGCAGACCCTCTTGTCCAGGAAACGAGGATGGGCACTTTCAGCTGGAGGGGAACACTGTCCTGTACCTCCCCAATAACATACCTGAGCCCCGCACCTTTGTGCTGCTGGTGGAGGTGTGGGATGGCTCCGGTGCCTCCCGCCACAGCACTGTGGTGGCACTGGTGGTGCATGTCACTCCCCTTAGCACGCCGGTGCCACCCAGCACCACGAGCCGGCGCATGGTGAGCAAAGCCCAATGCAGGCGGTGCTCCCGGGTCCATGAGGCCCCCTGGCCCTCACGCGTCCCCTCACCCCACCACCTCCACAGACATCACGGAAAGAGCGCCTGGTTGTCACACGGACGGAGGCAGTGTGGCACCCGCCAGCCTGGTTCGTGGCTGTGCTGACTGTCTCTGGTGCCCTGCTGCTGTCTGCCCTGGGCTGCATGGCCTGGAGCCTGCTGTGCAGGTGAGCACCAGTCCCATGGTATGGCACAGCATGGCACAGTGAGCAAGATGAGGGGCTCACAGCTGTCTTCTGTTCCTACCACAGCAACCGAGTCCCTGGCAAGCTGCTCCTGGGCAAGAGGTGGGTGCTGCATGGCCAGGGCTGTTATATCAGTGAGAGGCAGCCACTCTTGTTGGCACAGGCTCCTGGAGTGTCCCTGCAGGCAGCTGAGCAGACACAGCATATGGAGGGGGTTTAACGTGCCCTGCATTTGGCTGTGATCTGTGGGTTGCTGTGCTGGGGAGATATCTCTGTCCAGAGCAAGGGTGCAACACTGATGAGAGCTGTGGATGCACCTTGGCCAGGCAACAGCCATAGTGGTGGCTAGACTGTGACACCACCTGCAGTGGGCAGGGTGGGATGGCACAGTGCTGGGTCCCACCACCAAGCTGGGGCTGCTGCTGCTCACCAGTGGAGCCTCAGTTTGACAGGGAAAGCTCGGGGAAGAGGTGCACGGTCTGCACCCTCCTGCGAGGATGAATGAGGAGGTGGAGGGGAGACACCAAGGAGGACTGGAGCCAACCCAGCCCACGCCAGGTGTCTGCACGGCGAGGAGGAGGGTAACGGCCACCTCCATGGCAAAACTGCCTCAGGTTGATGCGTGGCTGCGTCCGTGTTCATTTGCCAGGTTGGCACTGGAGCTGTAGTGGCTGTGCAGAGGAAGAGACTTGGGCTCAGCCCCTGTAGGTGGTGGGCTCCAGGGTTGCAGGTCCCCCAGCACAGCATCCTCTGAGCACAAGAACATTTCATGCCAGCACATGGGGAAACAAGTGGTTGTGGTGGTGGACATCTTTGTTGCTTTTGAGCACTGCTGGAAGGTGGTGGTGTTTAGGGGAGCACGGCCCCTGCCGCAGTCCCCTTCAGTGCCCAGGGGACACATGGGCTGGGACCATCAGGTAGGTGGATGATGGGCTGACAGGGTGCAGCTGGCAGTGCAAAGCCTGGCCGGCAACTCACTTCCTGCAGCACCCTCAGGGTCAAGGTCAGGTGCCCATCACCAACAGCGTGCTCTCCCCTTGCTCTTTCTACCCTCTGCAGCCCCTGGAATGTGGCGGAGCAGAAGGGGGATGAGGGGGACCAGGGAAGCCCCCATGCCAGCAGCCTGGTAAGTGTGTGCCATGGTGGTAAGGGCAGGTGCCACTCTGGAGGTGCAGGAGGGAGCCCTGGGGCCCCTCAACATTCTCTCCCATCCCTCCTCCACAGGAGCAGTTTGATGGCCGTGCCCAGGACCCTTGTAAGTGCCCTGTCCCATGGCCCTGGCATTCTTGGGCTGCATCCCTCGGGGCTGAGGGGTCTGGGGGATGAACAGTGATGCCTGGGCAGTGCCCATGGGGCAACATCTGAGCGCTGCCCTCCCATCTCAGGCACCGGCAGGGACTATCTCTTCAACAGCAAGACTGGGGCACGGCGCTGGATCTGAGCGGTTTGACTCGGTGAGGAGCTCCCTGCGACACACAGCTCCCCGAGGGCCACGCCAGAGCACTGGTGTGGCCGTGCGGCCCGGGAGGAGGACGGGATCCCTCCTCTGTGGATCTCTGCAGCCCCTGAGCCAGCACAGACTTAATAAACAGTGGCAGAGACTGCACCCGCTGCTGTGCTTGCCGTAGGGAGGGGTATTGGAGGAAAAAAAGGTGCCCTGGGGTGGCGGTCATTAGCGCCGTCTCCAGTCAGGGACGTGGGTGGCACGACCCAGGACGAGGACGGCATTTACGGCAGCACCGGCCTCAGGCTGGGGTTTGCACTGAGAAATACGTGCCGAGGGCTTTGACAGGGTCTGCTCCGCTCACGGCGGCGCCTCTGTGTAGGCTCTGGATGTGACCC